AGACTATGATAAAGAGGAATGGCATTTAGAGCATCAAGTCACACGAGGAGACATTTGGTCAGATGATCCTAACCTAAATGGCCCTTTGTTGCATGCCACTTTTCTTCCATTAGCTTTCCACCCATGTAATTTGGATATAGTCTACCTAATATGCAAAGAGCCATCTTGCATTGTATCTTATAGTATCCAAAATAAGCGTATGGAAGTTATTTCTCATCACATTTGCAGTGAAAAACTTAGTTGGCGCTCCGTGATGCCTGCACTCCCAATCTGGCCGGCAGTTCCATCTGGGCTTCTGAAGGGGCTTCCGAAAAGAAATGATGTTTTTTTTTTTCTTTCCCTAGTTGATATCGTACACTCCTTTCAAGGAATTGTTTGCACATAAGAGGAGTCGAACTTTAGACCTGATGCTTCTTGAGGCACTAGGGCCAAGTGACTTAATCAATTGAGCCAACAGATTGGGGTTAATGCTCTTTCTTTGTTGTTGTGTTTAAGTGACTCAGATGATGCAGTTCTTTAGTTTAGAACATTTACTTGCATGGTTTATGACTGAGATTCTGGCGATGACAATTGACAAAAGCTGGTGCAATCAAAGACGAGCGAAATGTGGTGGACAAGAAGAGGATTATAAGTGCCTGAATTGGGTGTTAATGTCTATGATTTTCACCCATAAGGTAAAAAATTTGGTAGTTCAAATTTAATGAATATATGAGGCATTCTAATTCATTATTGTATTACAAGGTCCGTGCAGAAGAATTTAACTGGTTTCATTTGTATAAATATAATTAAAAAAGAAAAAAAAAAATTGTCGGTTTTAATTTGTCTAGTGGAACACCGATGATATATCTGGTACATTGTGGAGTGAATTTTTTGTTCCAAGACTTCCAATGCGTGGTCTTTGTTTTTTGAGTAGTAATAGAGCAACTAAATCTTATTCCTGAAATAGTCACCGAACCGTGACATGGTTTGGTCACGTCAAACTCCTTAAAAAGGTAAGACTCGGAGAATAAATATCTTTCTCATTTATAATTTTTTTGCGTGAATTGACTGAAAAAATAAAAGCATGCTCAATGGTCGTGGATAGAGAAAGGTAATGGTAAGAAGATATGGTAGTTAAATATACAAATCTGACATATATATACATACAAAAAAAAAAAAAAAAATACATACATATATATATATATATATATATATATATATATATATATAAGTTTTCACAAATTAAAAAAGTTAAATAACATAATACATTCTCACAACAACATCGATCCGGGATTCACACTCCCTCTCGGCTTTGTAACGTGTTTTCTTCTTCAATAGCTATTCAATCGGTACTCTTTTTCACAATTTTTGAAAGCAAGAATTAAGACAAAATATGAAACCGATATGGTGATGGTAGAATCGAGTGTTTTTTTAATTTTATTATATAGTTTTGATAATGTTTTGTATAAATTTTTGTGGTTATCAGATGGAATCCCAAACCTACAAAGTTCAGAGAAAGTGAAAGTAGTAAACTTACAAGATCTCTAAATTACTTAAAAAAATTTCTGAAAGATGGAGTCTTGGTTTATATCTAAAAGAGGTGTTCAAACAGGAATTTTTTTTTTTTCCTTAAAAGTCTCACGTGGCCAATCCACCTCACGATTTGGTGATTATATCGGAAATATTTTTCGGGTGTTCTATCATTTTCTTTTTTTTTTTTATTTATATTTCTTGAACTCAACTATTTTTGTTTGATGCTGTTATATAGAGGTCCATTGCAAAACTTAGAATAGATGGGCACTCATCTGAACAATCTTAATTCTTGAGGGGCAGTTATTTGTACATGTTGATTAGATCCCACTGACCATTTTTCTCATTATCAGCTGGCCGTGATGATGTTATTCTTGTTTTTCAACTAGTCCTCACTTGCGCCTTCTGACCCTAGTGGTTCTTTGGTCGGAAGCCCTCAAAAGTTTCTACCTTTAATTTCTAATCAAATATTTTGGCCGATTTCAACCATTTTTTTATTTGACAGGTAATTTAGAGTGGGAATAATCATTCTATTCATGAGAATGAAAATTCATTTTATAACTAAACTTATGAAATTCCAAGTGTAAAAACTATCACTCCCTTCTACCATAACCACTTCCGTCTTTTAATACCAACTTCCACCACTACCACCGCCGTTGACTTTCACCACCGCCCACCACTTTCCACCACTACTGCCATTGCCTTTCACCACGCCACCACCTTCACCACCGCCACCTTCCACCACCGCCACTGCTACCACCTTCCACCACCACCACCACTGCCTTCCACCACCACCACCACCACCTCCACCGCCTTTCACCATCGTCACTGCTTTTCATCGCCTCACCACCACTACTGTCACCACCTTCATTGTCAACGCTTTTCGCCACTGCCACTGCCATCACCATTACCGCCTTTCGCCACCGCCACCACCTTCCACCACAAACCGCCATCGCCTTCCACCGCCACCACATTCACCTCCATTAGCTTCCACCAACACCACCACCTACACCACTACCACTTTCTACCTCCAACACCATCGTCACCACCGCCACTGCCACCACTTATTTTTAAAAAAAATTATAAAAGAATGTCATTTTGTTAATTTAATTTATTTGTTACTAATAAGAATATTTTGGAGAACTTAAATTGAAATTTATTCCATTCTAAATTTTAAATTGGTCCAATCAAATAATAGAATAATTATTAGTTCTATTTTCACTTACATTCCATTCCATTCTATTCCTGCACACCAAACACAACATAATTTCGTGAATTGGGTGTTAATGTCTACTATTCTCATTATCAGTAGGCCATGATGTTATTTTTGTTTTTTCAACTAGTCCTCACTTGAACAAATGTGTGTACGAAATTTTTGACGTCTTAATTTTACCATACATGATAAAATGCTGTGGAAACAATATTTTTGATTAGTTTTTTCCTCAATTAAATAATTAATAAAATATTGCATCAAATTTAATATTATATTATCTCGGACAATATTTCTCCTTCCCCAAGATGGGTAAACATTTGTTCAGATAGAATTGATCATTATCTATATTCATTTTTGTTAATTTATTGAATAATCGAATTTGAATTATTAATAAATTAAATACTAAATCTATATCTATTAGATCGATTAAATTACATTTGCCTCCTATAGGTGTAATTATATTCTTCTCGGAGAATTGCACATGACTCCTTGATTAAACTTTTTTTGTTGGACCACGTTAGGAGGAATTGTAATTTTACTTTTGACCTTCAATGATTATACTATATACTGATATTTTTGAAAAGTGAGTTAAAGTGAAAAGTAAATGACATATATACTGTAGTACTTTAAAATTCAATTTTACTGAAATAAGCATATTTCACTAACCAAAATAAATAAATCGTCTTGACCGTTTTTGAATTTGGAATGTGGTAGTTACTTTCTTTTTCTTTTTTCTTTTTTCCTTTTTTTTTTTTTTTTTTTTTCACCGGTTACTTTCAAACAGAGGAATTGTCAATTCCTTAGCCCACTTGTTGGTTTTTGTGATGCCTTGCCCGCTCTTTGGGCTGCCTTGGTCTGGCCTGTTAAATTTTAGGATAAACCATTTAACATTTATTTTATGATTTTGACATTTTTTGAGATTTGGGTTCAATGACACCCTTGGCATTTTTTTTTCCAATTGATTAAATTTTATAAAATGATAATTTTATTAGGGCAAATTTCTCAAAACTCCAAAAACTATTAAAAAATGATCATAAAACCTCACACAGTTTTAAAAACCCCCAACAATATAAAAATGTTATCATATTACCCAAACTCTGGCAATTGGCCGTTAAGGATATGTGAAATGACTAAATTACCCTTATTATATTCCCTTTTATTTTAAAAACCAAAAAATCATATTTTGAAAATTACAATATTATTCTTTAGCACAAAACGACCGCGTTTAGTGCCAATATAGTTGGACATCAAAACCCTGTCGTTTTATTCAAGGTAGCAGTTGTATTTTACTTAAAGCGCTGTCGTTTGATTCATTGCAGCAGTCATATATATATATTGTTACACTTGTATATTTTTGCTTATAACCCTAATTAGAACCTTAATACACTCAGACGACTAAGGTCTCTTGGGTGCGTTGAAGAAGAATCGTTTTGCTTAGAACCTTAAAACACTGAATACACTCAGACGACTAGGATCCGTGTTGAGGCGTTTCATTGTTCAAACTCTTGGGTGCGTTGCAGTAGAATCTGTGTTGTGCTTTTCATCTGTGGGTCTCATTCGTGGGTCAGTGAAGAAGCTAAAGAGTGGTCTATTCAAGGCTATTGTCTTCAATTTTGGTGGACAATATGTCGACAGGTATGTCTTTATTTGATAGTTTATGACTTTTAGTTGAACAACTTTATTCATGTGGGTCTTTGCCGTGTTGGGTATGATTCCAACAGGTTGGGACCATTGATTAAATTAGGGTTATTGTTTATTAGGGTTATTGTAATTTTATATTAAGGTTAATGTTAATGTATTGTAATTTTATATTAGAGTTAATGTAATTTTATATTAGGGTTGTGGTTCCCATTGATTAAATTAGTGTTTTGAATTTTATATGTTGTATTTTGTATTAGGGTTAGTTGTATGTATGGTTTTGTGTTTGGTTTTTAGCATTATAATTAATTAGTTGCAAACATGAATTTGTGTTTATTACAATTTGTGTTTTGATAGGTTATACACCTATTTTTAACAAATTATATTGTCTTCGAGTCCATCATGGTGGTGAATTTGTTAAGACAGAGCAAATGGAATATATTGGTGGATCTGTTATTGAGATTGATGGAGTAGATATTGACCGTATGTCAATGATTGATTTCAAAGCAATTTCACAAATAGTTGGTTGTTCTACAAATAGTGTTTTGTATTACAGAGATCTGATTGATGGGAGTTTATCAAAATTGGTTACTGACAATGATTATATTGAGATGGTGGTAAGCATCAAAAGTTCTCATTCATGAGAATTTTTGTGGTGCCACCAACTGGAGATGATAGGAATGAAAATTATGATAGGACAGTTGATGTAACTCCAGTACATGGGACTATAGTTGAGGGGAGTATAAACACTAGTGAAAAGAATGGTAATAGAGTAAAACCTAATGCTGGAGATGATAGGAATGCTAATGAAGGACAACCTAATGCTGCAACTGAAGTTTTCATAGACTTGAGTGATGACAGTTTTCAAATTGAGGATGAACCAAATGATGAAAATGATGATGAAGATGCAACATATGCAGCTGATAAAGATGAAGACTTCAATTTTGATGATGCAGATGTAGGTGATGATGTTGAAGATGCAGGTCTTGAATATGAAATGATGAAGTTGATAGTGATACTGAGTATGAGCCAAGTGAGGAGTTGAATGTAGATGCATGTGATGATCATACTGACTATGCAGCTAAATTGAATGAAGATTGTAATGTTGAGAATGAACATGCATGTGCTGATGATGCATCTGAATATGCAGGTCTTAAAGATGAAAATGATGAACTTGACAGACAAACTGAGTATGATCCAAGTGAGGAGTTGATAAGTTTAGCCAATGAAAGTGATGATGATGATGGGAATTGTGTAACTTCTACAAACTTGAACTTTAATGTGAGGAGGGACTTGAGAATCAAGAAACTACAAGTTGGACAGAAGTTTGGTTCAGCAGCTGAATTTAGAGAAGCAGTGAGGGATATAGTAATCAAAAGGAAGTTTGACCTCACTTTTGTAAGGAATGATGGAGATAGAGTGACTATCATATGCAAACAAGAATGTGGATGGAAGATTCGTGGATCTTCCAACACTAATGATGACTCATTTCAAGTAAGAGAATTCAATGATAAACATAATTGTACAGGTGTAAGGGTGAATGGACATGTGACATATAGCTATATTGCTAAGCATTATATTGGGACAGTTAGGGCTGATCCTGGTTGCACAGTGGCTGGAATAGCAGATACAGTTGAGAAAGATCTTCATGTTGTTGTGACTAAGCAGAAGGTTAGAAGGGCAAAGAGTTTGGCTATACAACTTATCGAGGGTAATCATGAACAACAATTTGGAAGAGCAAGAGATTATTGGCAGCTGGTTCTTCAAAGTAATCTTGGAAGTGTTGCTAATGTAAGTACAATGGCATATAGTGATGAAGGTCGTGCATTCTACAGGATGTTTTTTTTCGTTAGAAGCAATGTGGAGAGGATTCAAAGAAGGATATAGACCATTTATTGGTCTAGATGGAACATTCCTAAAGGGACCCTATGGGGGCCACATGTTGGTTGCAGTTGGTAGGGATGCCAACAATGGCTTATTCCCTATTGCAATTGCTTGTGTTGAGTCAGAATGTAGGGACTCTTGGGAATGGTTCTTGAATGAATTGATGGGATTGGTTGGTAACTACCTTGACTTCACATTTATCTCAGATAGACAGAAGGTATGAAACTTTTAAAAGTTTCTATTTATCACATTTTATAAAGCTTTATCTAATTATTTACATTAATTTGCACTTATATATAATTTGCAGGGCCTAGTTGAGATATTTGAAAACATGTACCGTGGAGCAGACATAAGATTCTGCCTGAAGCACTTATATGACAATTTTAAGCTAAAATACAAAGGTACAAGACTAAAGAACTTATATTGGGATGCAGCCACCGCATATACTACATCTGAGTTTGAGCTTTACATGCAAGAAATGAGGAATGTAGACAAAAATGCATATGAGTAGTTAATGAAGATTCCTAGGAAGGTGTGGGCAAGGTCATCATATAGTGGCAAGAGTAAGTGTAGCCTATGTATTAACGACATGTGTGAGTCTTTCAAAAATTTCATTGGGAAAGCAAGGGAAAAACCTTTAGTGTATATGTTTGAGAGCATCAGAAAACAGCTAATAATTAGGTTTGAAAAGAATAGGGTAGACATGGCAAGGGTAAATGGATTGTTGTGCCCAAGAATTATGGACAAGTTACAAAAGATTTCAGAAAAGGTAAGAAGGTTACATGTGGAGCCTGCTGGGAATGATAAGTATGAAGTGGATAACATCTCATACCGAGATGCAAGAGTTAGTGATTATGTCAATGTGGCAGAGAGAACTTGTTAATGTAAGTATTGGGACATAAGTGGAATACCATGCAAGCATGCATATGCTGTGGCAGTGTTCAGAAGGGATGATCCAGAAACATATGTGAGTCCTTGGTACTACAGGGACAGTTTTTTCAGGTGTTATGCCCATGTGATAACTCCAGTTTCATTGAGAAATTTGACAAGAGAAGTAGGAACTACTCCTATTTTGCCACCACCTCATAGGCCTCAACCAGGAAGGCCTAAAAAAATTAGGAAGAGAGGTCCAGATGAGGGCCCTTCAACTACTGCTGTGCCCAAGAAGAAGATAAAATTGAGGTGCAAAAAATGTCTTCGAAAGGGCCACAATGTCAGAACTTGCAAAGCAGATGAACCTGCTACAAGACCACTTAAAGGTAGAGTTGGACGACCACTACTTCAGAGGGGTACAGGTGGAGTAGGTGGTGGCAGGGATGAGAATGTTATTGGTAAGGGTGGTGGAAGACCTGCAGGTGGTGGTGGTGTTGCTGTTAGGGGTGGAAGAGGTGTTGGAAGACCTTTTGTTGCTGCTAGGGATGGAAGAGGTGGTGGAAGAGGTGTTGGAAGACCTGTTGTTGCTGCTAGGGATGGAAGAGGTGTTGGAAGACCTGTTGTTGCTGCTGCTAGGGCTGCAGGTGTTGTAAGAGGTGGACTTGGGGATGTAGGTCATTCACAGGTATCAATGCTAGTTTTTTGATATAAATGTACTAACATTTCTTGATATAAATGAATTGACATTTCTTGATATAGATGCTTGTTTGTTGTTATAAATTCATTTTTTTCATATCAATGCACTGACATTAATATTATATATGTTTGTTTAGGCTGGAGATAGGGATACTAATAGAGGTCATGGTGTTGGTATAGGAGATGTCTTAGGTCATTCACAGGTATAAATGCATTTTGTTGGAATAAATTCATTTCCTTGTTATAAATGCACTAACATTAATATTTTATATGTTTCTGTAGGCATCATTATCCAACCAACATCAAGTGTTTTATATGGATTATCCATCCACACAAGGCACACAAGATTGAAGAACCTCTTACTAATTTTTGTGATTCAAGTAAGTTCCATGCCATAAGACTAATTCATGATTTCATTAACATGGAATATAAATTCATGAAATGCTTTTATTATTTTTGTAGGTTGGTTGATGGATGATTGGTAACAGTATATTTCATTGATTTTTGGACATTTGATGGATAATGCATTGATAATACTATGCATTGATTTTTGGTGACATTTCTTTTTGTAAAGCTTGTGTTGGACAAGTGCTATGACAATGTTTTTACTTTATTGCAACCCTTAATGGTGGATGACAGTGCTATGACAGTGTATGAGACTTAATTATTTATTTTGTAACCCTTAATGGTGGATGACAGTTCTATGAGTTTTGTAATCACAACCAAACTTGATCACTTAATGCATAATTATTATTTTATGGTCTATATGTTGTATTAGGGTATCATTTTGTTGTATGGACAGGTTATGGTATGGTTTTGTGAATATGTTACATGTGGATGGATTTCATTTCTCAAGTACAGGTTGTATTACTTTATTGCACGAACAAGTTATATGGATATGTTATGGTATGAACATGTTGTACTACTTTTTGGACAGGTTATGGTATGAATGTTGCATTTGCCAATTTGGTATCAATATTGTGAACTTTAATAAAAGATAAACAGATTACTTTAACATCATAAATGCTGTAACAAGTTTAATATTATCAATGTTGTACATTATCCCTAAATCAAAGACAAAAACATCCAACTCCTAAACAAGTTAAATACTAAAAAAACTAAGTTGCACCTACTTCAATTCCCTCCCAAAGTTGACATAAACACAAAACCACAAGTAATCACCAACAAGCACTTTACTTCTCTCGAACAGTTCTCACAAAAGTAGCAATAGAAATGATGATACATGCTACGATAAGTTTCTTCATCAACTGAAGCCTTCCTTCGATGGCATACAACTTAGTCTTCAACTCTGCAATATCTTTTCTATCAACACATTGACCAACCTCAATCTTCTTCCCATTTTCATTTAAAGTTCTTGTCGAAATTGGTTCACACCATTCCCAAAATCCACATCTTCGTTTTGGACATCTGTAGTATAACTTTCCCAAATTGTCATACTCATCAGATCCTGTTACCAGAATTAGAGCTGTTTTGCTACAATCGCATTGAACATTAGTATACCTCAAATTAAGACTCCCATACTATGTGCTTGAAGAAGACATTCTGGGATTCGAATCTACAAATCAAAAATTAACATCTAATTTTAATAAAAACACTAAAAATCAACTGAAAACAACATCTAATTTCGATGGTGGTTATAGTTGAACACTAAGGTAGGGATTGTATTGTATGTATGTGTTTGAAAACAAAATTCAGAAAATGAGTTTAAACAACATCTAATGTATGATTTTAAATCTCAAAGCAATTACATTTTCAGAAATCCTCAAATAAATTAGTATCAATTGTGCTTGGGTAGGGTTACTTATTAGATTAAATTAAGGTACGAAATTACCTTAAATTAAAGTAACAATTAACCTTCACGCTTCAAGATCACTTCCTCTGGTTCCTATAATGGAGGAAACACGGTGGCTCGGGCGACTTCTAGGGCTTCCTGTAACGCGCATGGAGGAGGAAGAAAAGATGAGTAAAACGTGAAGTAACTTTTGTGGGTTTTTACCATTACAAGCTTGGGGGTATTTTCGGTATAACACATTTAAATACACATCACTTCTTTGGCACATGTGACAGCATGGGTATTTTTGTCACAAAAGTCAATTTGTCAAAGCATTTGTTAACCACGCGCTGGGTTAACGGAGCCAATTGCCAAAGTTGGGGTAATATGATAATGTTTCTATATTGTTGGGGGTTTTTAAAACTGGGTGGGGTTTTATGATCATTTTTTAATAGTTTTGGGGGTTTTGAGAAATTTGTTCATTTTAATTATTATTATTTTTATAAAATACAATATAATATATTATTATAAGAACAATATTTAGTTCTTTATCGATCAATGAGAATATACACAATTATGATGCTGATGTGGACTAATAATAAATGAGCACCTCCTATTTTAATTATCAAATCAAATATGATAGTAGCAAATATGTCTGATTTGGTAATTAAGACATGTTTATTTATTATTATTCCATTTATTATAATATGAGTGCATTACTAACTTTTTCATATTCAAAGTAATTTTAAAGTAACCCGGCTAACATTGTTTTGGGAAAGTCAAAGAAATAAATGGTGTGAGTGAGGTAAGTGTAATACTGTAATGTACCCTAAATAAAAGGAATTTTTTTATTTTTATTTTTATTTTTATGTAAGTTTGTATGTCACAAAACAAGTCAACATACAAACTTACGAACCAAAAACAAAACCGGCTTGAATGCGGCAAGAACAGATCAATAGCAAATCCTTAATCCTACTGATCCTTTTCCTAGTAGGGTTTGCATGATTTAAGGTTATAAAAAAGGTAAGTCTCTACTCTCACCAAAAAGGAGTTCTTACACTTTTCTCAGGTTTACATGGAGCATCTACGGACAGAGGTAAGCACAACTATTTCATTGCCTTTCTCTTATTGCTTTGAACCCTCGAATATTCTCAGAAAGTTTTTTCCTCTTTTTGTTTTTTTTTAATTCAATTTATTTTTTCTTCTAATTGTTTTTTTATTATTATTTTTCTCTCTCTCTCTTTTGAATAGTTTATCTCTATTTTTTTCTTAATTTTCTTTTACTTTCTTAATTATCCAAATTGATATACAATATTAACATTTATTTTCTCTCTTAATAATAGTTGTGAGAAATAAACGTCATGCCTAGCTTATTAATTAAATCAAAACTTAACTATTGCTATGCTTGGGGGCACCAAATCGGCTTTGATTTGAGATTGGAGAAACATAAGTTCAAAGTTTGTACTAAATTTTTTCCAATCCCAAATTCAAAGCACCGATTCAGTGCTCCTAAACACAAACATATGTTGATTAGTAGCTTCTATGATCAAATTATGTGCATTTTTACTTGTTCAAAGTTAAAAACCAATATTTGTCTTTCATAAATCTTAGAACTCTTCAAATTTTGAAGCCAAATAAGAGTCAATAGAAGTTTTTCCTGCAAACTCCTCAATCTCTTTGTTCTTCCTTTGTTGAATGGTTTTTTAACAATATTTTTATCAATAAAGTTCTGTGAAATTTTGCTTAACATTATTATTATTATAATTTTATTTGTTGAGTAGAGAACCAACGAAGAAGATGATACAGAAAGAGAAAGATAAAAGTTTGCAATGAAATTTAGAAATAGAAATAGAAATAGGTTAAATAATGAACAATATAGGAGTTTTATATTTATTACTTAAAAAAGTGTGTAGCTTACAAAAAGTTAATCAGAAAGAATGTTTTATTGAGTTTGGTCAATCGGGCTTCTAAACTACTGAGACTTTTTAAAAGCCTATTTTTAGAAATTTTATTATTGATAAAGAACTTTCTGAACTTAGAAGTCCGTTTTGAAACTACAAGAAGCCCAACCAAACAGGCCCATAATCGAGTTTCAAATATGCCTATCTTCCATCCCTAGTTCATACAACTTCATTACTATTATTTTTTTC